CTCGATACAAGAGCAGTGTAAAGTAAAAGGAATAAGGACACTGCGATATTGAAGACGCATTTAATAATTTCTGTGATAGACTCACAGAATAAGGGATATAGAAAAGCCGTATGTTACGACGGCATAATAAAGAAATATCACTGCCAAAATGACTCAAAGCAGTGGGCAAAAGTGCGCGTCGACCGATTACCATGGGATCTCTGTAGGTCGCGTAGGGTTGGATTAATACACAAAAGGATTAGATATGCACATCACCGGCAAGGTTTAACGGTTTCAAGAAAGATGTTGAGATAAGCAAAATATGCTAATGATACTTTAAATCCGAAAATTAGGTTTCAAAGTCCATGAGAAAAGTTAGTTCTAATAGTGCGAACCATAGAAATTACAAACACAGAATGATTGTTCTTTGGGATATTAAATTTGTGAAAGACCAAAAAATTGAATATTAAAGAATTTAGTAGGGTAATGCACGAGAAACAGCAAGCTAGGTAGACACAACCAAGTCCGGACAAGTGATGGGGAAATGACGAATTTCACCTTTTAATAATATCTTTTGCACGATTCATACATGACGTAAATATTCCATTCAGTTATTCTTTGGGTATTCTTTTTGCTTCTCCTTATTATTGTCCTGCATGTCTATGTGTATTCGGGCAGAGCGGGCATCAGAGGGCTTGCGATGGTCTGCTGATTCATGCTTGGTCCTGGAACGACCACCCTTAGTTCCTTCAGGTGAATTATAATTGTAGTGCTCATACTCATCCTCCAGAGGCAGACAATCCTCGAAAGGTTCAGAGCGAACAGACAACACAGCGTCGCGTGCCTCAGTAGTCATGACTGGAGGCACGAGACAATTATCATAATAAGCTGACTTAAACAATTAAAATTGTGTTTTTTACAAAATAATAACAAAGTAACAATATTAAATAATTATTGACAATACCTTATGTTGACATAAACTTTATGCATTAATTTAAATATTGCCGACCATCGCTTCTTGTCTCATGT